GGTGTGTAAAGTTGCAGGAATAATGTTTAGCTTTGTGCCGGCCGGTACGTACATATGTACATATTTTATGTTCATTGCTATAACCACAATTGTGGATGTGTAGCTTAATAAAAATGTAAATCGAAAAAAAAAGAAGTAAGAGTGCTAATTTTAAATTTTAAATAATTTAAAAAATATCAATTTTATAAAATTTAAATTTATTTTATTTTCCCGACTATATCATGATTATAGTAATAGAAAAACAAAATGAACAACAACAACGCTAAACGAAACACACAAAAAACAAAATACACAAGGCAGTAAAACCAACAGACATCCAAACATACGAAACGAAATACACAAAGAAAAAAACAAAAACAAAATATACAACGCAATGGACCCAACAGACATCCAAACATACGAAACTGAATACACCAAGAAACAAAAACAATATACACAAGGCAATGAAAGACACAGCCAACCAAACATACGAAACGAAATAATCAAAAAAAAAAAACAAAATACACATCGCAATGAATAAGCAGTGTTGTTGTTGTTGCTTATTTATCAAAGCATGAAAAAAAATGTATTTTTTATGTAATTTTCTGAACAACTACAAATAATAATAATGTATAAAATAGAAAACAAAAAATCAACTTACATACATACATATTGCATTTCCTTTTTATAATTCACTAATTTGATTTTTAATTATGAACCTTTTTTTTACATATTCATATCAGAATATTACATTTTTTCATAACATATTTAAAGCAAATGCTTTATTTATTTTATTTGACATTTATATTGAAATTACACTAACACTTTTACATTATGCGCGTAATATTGACGCAACGAACGACAACACAAAAGGGACACAGCGGCCGGCACAACAAAATATTTTTTTTCATTCAAATTTCACATACTTTTTTCCTCTATTTACATTAAAATTTTCAATGATACTTTTATATACAGATATTAAGAAACAATTATATTACAATATTATGCAAAAATATTAACATTTTATCGGATTTTTTATGCAAAAATACTAATTTTCTTAAGACACTACCATTTAACGACCGAACCGTGTGAAAATAAGCGTAAACTAAAAGAGAAAACAAAAGAGATGAAACAAATGACAAGTAATACAATTGTACTAAATAGCTGTCATTTACGAAGTGAGATGAGTATGCGTTAGTAGCTCTATTGCAATTTTGGAGTCGATAGTCGCATTACATACATATGTACATATGTAAGTATATATAGACATATTATGTATTTACAAAAGTATATTTACATCAATGAAGACAACATTTATTCATACATGGTATTTATGTATATTGAAACAATTTAATATTGAAAAGTAGAATCGAAACATAATGAAGGTAATTAATTTAAATGTAGATACACTTACATAAATCATAAGCAATATTTGCATACAATTATATGTCATATAGGTACATAGGATGTAGAAAATATCATATCGATGGGAGTAATACCAACGTTATGTTAAAATAAAAGAAATGCAACTAAAAGAATATGCAACGAAGTGGTGTAAGTGCGTCTTTTACAACTTTTTGAACTATCCATAATAGCTATGATTTGATATAAAAATGGCAATAATTAAAAAAATAAGTTTAAAAGTACAAAGTACACCAAATGTAAATTAATTTAATATTTCAAATTTACATCGAATATGAAACAGTAAAGAGAAAAAATCACTTACATAATTCAAATTTTTATAATTTCCTTATTCATTTAGCATACGTTTTGAAGCTGCACACAATTATTGCATGAACATATTATTTTAAACTTTAAAATTTAATATTTTTTATTAATTATAATAAATGCATATAGGTATTTTTATTAGCACAAAGAACTTTCATTTAAATTATGAACTTCTTAACTCATTTTTTTATTTATTCTCATTAGAATGCCTTAACCTTAACATAACTTTAAATTATGTTAATCAAAGAAAACAAAAAACTTTTTTTTAAATTTTTTGGCATTTACATACATACATATATGTATATGTATGTACATACATCCATATACATATATTTGACATTACACTGACACTTCTCTATACACTTGCTATTGGCGCGACGAACAATAACACAAAAGAAACAAGACTACCGGCACAAATAATTTATGGTTTGCCTACAACTTTACACACATTTTTCATTTATTTATTTTAAACTTTTCAAGGATATTTTTATACGTAGATATTAAGAAACATTTATATTACAATTTTATGCAAAAATATTTACATTCTTTCTAATATTTTAAGTAAAAATATTAATTTTCTTTAGACACTTTCAATTGACGACCGAACCGTGTGAAAAATACAAGAAAACTAACAGAGATGCAGTGCTAAAAATGACAAGTAATAAAATTGTACTAAAACATGACAGCTTTAAGAAATGAGATGAGTATGCGTTAGTTACTCTATTGCAGTCATACATTTCACTCTAAAAGACTTTGATTAAATGTCTGTTATTTATTTACATACATACATATATGGAAATGTACATTGTTATGTATATAAGCATTTAATGGACTAGTTAAAATTAAATATTTTTTCAATTAACTATAGGAATCCGATAATTGTAATAAGTATAAGTAGGTATAATAAGTATTTTTATTAAAATTTAAGTTCAGATTTTTATAAGGAACTGAAATTAAAAAAATGCCTATAAAATATGTATATGTTCATTAGATTGTCTCAATCGAATCGTATTAATGTACTAAACACGAGAAAAATAGAAAAATATTTTTTTAAATGGGCCTTAGTTCCTTACCAGCGATTGAAAATTTTGATCTCGGTACAATATGTTAAAAAAATCAGCAATGGGTCTCCAAAATTCCGTAATTTTGAACAGATTACGGTAAAAATAATTATATAATAGTTTTAGAGTATTTTTGGTAAACCAAATGATTTTTATGGATTTGAGGGGCATATTATTTTTCTCTCATTTCCGCCAGTGATTTATTTCCCGGTATTTCCTGCATTTCCCACATCCGTATATGTATTTATTTTCATAACATATTTCATCTCCAATTGAGTTGTTCACGCATGTACACTCATCTCATGTTGAAAATGGCAAGTGAGAGCTTATTAGTACATTATTATATTAGTACAATTTGACATTTTTAGTTAACACACATTTTTCACTCAATTCAGCTGTTCCTTATAAATAAAGTAGAAAAATTTTTATTTTTGCATAAAACTATTACAATGTTTGAATAATTTAGTATTAAAAAATTAATATTTAATTGCTTTTAAATATTTCTGTATACAAATATCCTTGGAGCAATTAAAGTACATTAAAGAAAATAGTGTGTAAAGTTGCAGGAATAATGTTTAGCTTTTGTGCCGGCCGGTATGTATGTACATATTTTATGTTGCTGATTATTGCAAAAATCTCATGTGCGAATGTGTAGTTTAATAAGAATGTAAATCGAAAAAAATTAACGTTTAATACATACCAGGGTTGGCAAAGTTAATAGAATGTAATTTGGCATAATGTACATATGTATTTTTTTAAATTAATGTGTGGTGGATAAAGAAGCATAATTTCACCAAAAAGGGAATGAAATTCAAGTGAAACGGAAAAGGAAATACATACATACATACATATTTACCTATGAGAATAATAGATAATGTAAGTAATATTTAATAGATAGATATCATTCATATTATGATCTATTTTTTTCGATGTAATTTGTTAGATAACAAATAAAGTCCAAAAACTGAATAAGACATCATAATATATCCGCAAATGAAGCAGCTCAATTACTTTACAAAATACGTAATTGGTATTTTATAGAGCAACAATTAGGCTATGAGAAAGTTGATAATATCTTACCTTTAAACTGCAGGGTACTTTCGTAGATTGTACATACATATGTATGTATGTATGTATGTATTTACATTCATACATACATATAATGATTTTACTCTGTTGCTTTGCAATATTGCTACTCTTTAGCTACACACATTTAATTTCTATTTTTAAACTCTGATGTATATTTACAGAGTCAAAAATCATTTCCTTTCTGAGCGCAGTACGAACAAGGGATGGCATATGGAATTTTAAATTTGTACAAAACAACATTAAAATTAGTACTTATTTGATTCCGATTGTACCAAATCTGTTTTTTTTTTTTTTTTTTTGCAAATTTGTATTAAAACCATTTATCAATATATATGTTTTAGTACAATTTTAGATATTATTTTAATCAGAAAATAATTTTATAATTGTACCAGATGGTTCATTAGTTTACCATTATACTTTTAAAGACTGAATTGTACCAAAAAAAAAGTACAATAGTGCCAATTTAGCCAACTCTGGCATAAACCTATTTATTTTAACATCTTTCTTACCCACTCTCACTCTCTTTCTCTCTTATATCACCATTCACCACCGATGTTGATTTCTTGTGAATGTATAAAAGAACTAGTACTCAAACTTATAAGTAAGTGATTATTAGTTATTAAATGAAATACATTGGTTTATAATTGACATTAACTTTATTGGACTATGTATAGGCTAGCTGTCAAACTTTATATTAAAAGACAATTATAGAAAACAATTCTCTTTCAAATCCCAGTACTATATCAATATAATTAAATTCCGCAAAATTGTTCTATACAAGTTCCATACTTAACTACACCGTAACTTTTTTAGTCGTGCTCGATTTATTTATTATTGAAACCCAAGAATTGGCACAAATACGTACATACATACATATACATATGTGTACTTTTTAAGCACATTACGTCACTTCAAAATATTTTATACATGTTTTAAAGAAAAACACTCCACTACAATGATGTAGGGTATACTAAAGTACAAATCGGTACTTAAAAATACCCCTTTTTATCAACACAAAACGAAAAATTGAGATACGTCGAAAGAGAGAAAAAAGATACAATACAAAAATGAGATGTTTTTAATAATCGAAAAGAAAACACATCAGCGGTATTTAATACATTTTGACGTTTAGTATTCAGTTTTACTAGTATCGTTGCAGTGAGTAGAGGTGTTTGAAGAAAATAATATTCAGATAGTGAGTGAATGGATACATTAAATATACGGTGATACGGAAGCAACAAAAAAACGAGAATAAAATAAAAAATTTAACAAATTTTTACTTATACTTTACTTTTGAAAGCAACAACAAGAATTAACGTTAAAAAGAAAAGGCACTAGCAGAAAGATATTAATAATGAAAAAATATATCTATATACGAGTATATAATGTGTGTGTATAAATAAATTCCAAAATTGAAGAAATACTTATACGTAAAATTAAACGAAAGTCAATTTTGTCAGTGACGTCACTTAACCACAAAATTTAAATAAAAAATAGTGAATTTAAAATTTGGTAATAAATTGTGTACAGCGTATATTTTCTATTTCGCTAATCGAGTGTTGACAAATAACGATAAAGATTTCCATATACAGTAAGAATTAATAAAAAAAACTATTTTTATTTTTAAACGACGTGTTAAAAGTACACATTGTTTTCTACAAATTAAATAAAAATATTCAAACATAATTACTTACATACAAACAAACAAACATAGTAGATTTGTATATGTATTCGTTTTTAACACGAAAATTTGCAACGTCATATTAAATCAAGGTGAAATCAATACAATACAATAAAACAAACAACAAATTACTCAATATTATATGTCTATATGTATGTATGTATTCAGTGACATTTACAACAAAAGCAAAAACAACGAGTGAATAAAGTTATTTGCGAATCCGTTAATAAATACTCGAACTTACATTTGTTGCTGACTGTAAGAAATCAATAATAGAAATTGTAACCAATCAAAGCAACAACAATAACAAAACAAAAACAATTAAATTTTGAAAAACCAAAAAGCTAAAAAATTCTACGTTGGCGATACAAAATTACTCGTATATATTGTTCCTAGAATTTTCCACCATCACAAACAACAACAAATACTACAGAGCAAAGTGGTAGTAGTTGTCAAAATCGCTGCTCCCTCTCTTCTAACTGTTTGTTGCTGGCTCATTTAATCAAAAACAGAGAACGAAATAACGACGAAATCATTAACTTTTGTTGTTGCAGCCATAAAAACTGTGAAAAATAAGTGAAATAAAGAAAATTCTTGAATAAAAAACGACAAAATTAAAAAAGAAAAATAGATCAACAACAATACATCAGCAGACAAAGAAAATTGTAAAAATAAACATCGAAAATAAGAGCAAAGTAAAGCAGAAACGAAAAATACTACCTAATTCTTTTTATTTCGATACTAAAGACTGGCGCACTATATTAACGTTGCAAAATGAAACCCACTGTGATATCAAATGCAAGTGCATCGGCATCATCTGGCCCTGGTAATCCGCAAGCTGGAGGAAATGGTGTAACGATACCTATAAATCATGAGTACAGAGGTCAACCTGCAACTCAACAGCAACACCAGCCTCAGTATCAAACACAGGCTCAGCATTATGTAGCCGGCGAACCGCAGGTCACCAGTTATGGATCTCCAGGATCTCTTGGAAGAGGACAACAGCCGCAACAACCCCATCCACAGCAGCAACAAATTCCAGCACATTTTCAGGTTGGTACCGCCTTTCTCATTGTATCGCTTCTTAACATGAAAACTTAAACATTTTTTCAAGAAAAACTGTTTCGAATGTTTTACCTCATTCCATTTTTTTCTTAAATACATATCGTCATTGCTCCGGCCAAATTAGTCATGTGAATATTTCATTCATTTTACAGAAATAAAAGAACAAGATATTAGAGAACAAATTTTATCAAATATATTTTATAAAATGTTATTAATATGATTTCGCTGTTTATCATTAAAATATTGCAATTTATGATATTTCATGTTAAATTTCCTTTAAATATTTGATTGCTGGTTTGCAACAATTTACTAAAAAAGTCAAATAAAACATTTTAATCGACCTTCATGGTTCACATTCCTATAATGAAAACGAATACATACAACATTTATTTTAAATTATTATAACGATATCTCGATTCTAAATTTGAAAAGTTCTTTGAAATTTGGTGTATAGATTTATGTTGATATAATAGTTAATTATGCTGAATTTTATCGTAATACAAGTTTTTATAAGGGAATTTGTAGAGATATGTATTAATCTATTTGATATAATCATGTGCTCCAAAGTCCAAATAATGGACCGACATCAACCAAAATCAATAGGGTTCGTCAATGCAATACATGTACCAAATTTCATAAATTATCTTCCAATTTGCAACCTTTTGTTTAATCGACTCGGAAAATGATTCTAAACTGATTGGATACTTTAAAGTTACTTTCAAACCTATCAACTATTTGATGAAAAAGACGTGGCCACTATTTTTTGTAAATCTTTTTATTATCTTACATTACTTTTGTTAATGCCAAATCAATCAAATCATATAATAAAGACGTTCGAATGTAATAACTTCAAAAATAATTTTGAGCGTTACAAACATCAACACAAATACAATATACCCTCCCCACAAAAATTTCGAATTTAAAGTAAGATTCTTAGAAATTTCTAGTTTGCCTATCTTAATTAGTAATAAGTTAAATAAATCATTAATAAATGTTGGTTTTAAATGGAAAATTTCTTTAAAGCATATCTGATAGATACTGAAAATATCTGCCGCTTATTTATGAGTTCAACAATCATATGGACAGACATATTTTTTGGCCAAATAACCTGCAAGCTCGATTTTTTTTTATTATATTGACTACTACGTAATGATAACTAACTAAATACCACCGAAATTTCGTTTTTGTCGATTTGATAAAGAAATCGGTCCATCGCACGAACGGCTGTCGCTAGTATCGAAATATTTTGTGAATCTTCATAAAATAAAGTAAGGCATATTTTGAAAGGAGCAACAAAAACTAATACTAATGCTCTATATACATATGCAACATTTGAAATGTTCAAGGTCATTATTTTTTATTTAAATTTCCAACGAATTGTTTTTATTCCTCTTGTTACAAGTGATGATGCGTGAAGGTCATTTACAACAAAAACAAAATAAGATAAACAAATAATAAAACATTTTCAACTACTACAACTGAAAAAAACACTAGTCGTTTTACGTAAAACAAAATTAGGACTTCCAAGTGGAATTTACAATTTATAAAAATTAAAATTTGTTTAAATGCAATCAGAAATTTTGAAATACAATAAGAAATTTCTAAAGTCCAATTTCAAATACAATTTGAAAATTTAAAAAAAATGGCTTAAGTAAATTTTATTTATTTTATAAATATAGACTTAAGTATTTAAAAATAAAACTTTCATTATTTATTGAGTTGCTACATTATTGCTTTAAGAAATATCTCTATAACCACAAATTCCTGAAATTTATAGCTGTCAGTTGCTTCTAATCCTCTGTAATTTCATTTTAGCAACTGTCAACTCAATGAAGTTCAGTTGTTATCGATGAACGACACATTAGTTCCATGATTTGAACCAAAATATGTGTGTACTTCAAACATTTGATTTTGTGTTTGCTGGGTATTTATGTACATATACAAGATCTTCGCTGTTTTAGGTGTTTATTTGTTCTCATAAGACATAGTGTGGGTGGTTTTGAATAAAAACAAAATAACTTGATGCTTAGACACAAAGATTACAAAACTACATTTATATGTACATATGAATGTATGTACATATGTATGTAGATTGATTTCTGCGTGGTTATGAGTTTGTATACAAACTTGTACATACGTATATGTATGTATGTATGTTTGTATTTATATTATATATTAGACCGGCTCAATCATGATACCAAATAAAATAACTTTTCCAGTCACTCTTCTCAATGAAATTTGATTAATAATCGACACAGGCTTCGATCTATTACGCTACAGTACGTTTGTGGTCTTAGTTAAATATAAATTTAAATATAATTTATAATTATATTATAGTGTATGAAATAAATTAAAATGTTAAACGAGTATTATGTACTCATATTAGAATTCTTTAATATATTCGATTACGTTTGCGAACGGATTCTCCCGTTCAAATACGTTTAACTAATTAAAGCACGGAAAAGTACGATTCTCCATATAAAATTTCAATTATATTTGATTTGATTATGTTTATTATTTTTAATAAGAGACAAATTTGCAAATTAACTCGTTCTAATATGCAACTATAAATGATACACTCAATTTACCTATTCCACATACATACATATACATAAACCAAATACATATGTGTTGTATTCTTTAGAAATACATATGTACATACCTTAAATTTCTAATAATGATAATAATTTCTGTTATGACGTAATACCCCTAAAACACTAACAAAAAACTGTTGTTATACATAATATATACATAAGTTAACAAAATGATTACTTGATTTTAAAATCATTCCTCTAATTAACATGGTTTTCTCGAATTATTTTCTCATGTATTGAATCTATTGATTTTTACGTCATTGATTGCTGTTGACTTTTTCGCCTTCTTTTTATTGTTTTTTGCTTTTAATATTTTTTTGATCAAAATGTTTTTTTAAGTTTTTGTTTTTTATTGTCATATTCATTTTATGAATGTGTATTATGTACTACTTTATTGTTTAATACTTATACATAAATACAAATGTATTGTTAATAACAGAATGAATCATTGCTAAAAATATTTGTTGTTTGTTGGCGAGTTTTTATGTGGGCCGCACTTGTTTTACTCTTCGTAGTATACACGTCGTTTCATTTAAACTTTGTACATTTAGTGCCAGTTAAATACATTTTAAAATATGTACACTACGATTTATATTTCTTCCTTAATATGTAATTGAAAAAATTCATATTTGTTTCTTTATTTAGGTTATATTTCCAAAAACAATTCCAGTTTGAGGTACATATGTATTACATTTGAAAAAATCAATTATTAAAAACTACCCTTTATTTTGTTAAATTCACATTTCTCCCTGATTAAAAATTACAATTTTATTTATTAGTTTAAACTTTATTTTAGTGAGTACTATATAAGGTTTTTGTTTTTACTAACAAAAATTTTTCATGAAAAGTAGCGCACAACAGGTCCGATAGTGGCCTAAGTGTATTTCTTCGGATTTGATGTAGATACATCCTCCTATCAACCTAACCTAACATAAACTATTTTTTAGAATTACACTCTATGACCATACGTCCGCTGCAGTGAAAGCAGACCTTAATCTCTGGTGGGAATCGAACCCACGACTCTTATTCTGATAGACTCGAAAACTACAAACTAAGCTATCGAGGCATCCATTATAATTTTATATTCTTCTCAAATGTTTATTTCGTATGCTTAAAATTAACTTTATTAATAAACAAATTTTTTAATTTTACAAAGTTTCTGCATATCACTTCTACAATAACTTGTTTCAGTACTGTTTTGCTATATGATTAATTCTGACAAAAATCTGTAAATCTGACGGGTACTGGAACAGACCAAATGTTTTAATAAATGTATGTCCTTTGTTATGATTTTGTTTAATTTTATTTCTATTTGTATTTTCCAGCAGGACTTTGATTTTGAACCTGATATGGGCATAGATATGTTTCCTCGGACCCGCTTGGGACGTATGACTCATGATCCTTTTGGAGATTTCGGAGGTACTTCACGTAAGCGTACTAGTTTGCATGATCCCCAATTTCATACTGATGGTTTTTCTCGTTATTTTGATGATGCTGCAGATTTTGGTTTTCCCCAGTTCAACTCATTGGGTCGTCGCCGTGTAAATACTCATAACGATGATGATTTCTTTAATCGTTTGCCTTCGGAATTCCGTCAATACATACCAGAAAGTTTCGCCCATCGACGAGGAGGTTCTGGCATGGCAGGAAGCCCAGGAACTGGCCCGACCATGGTTCATCCGCAGCAGTCGACACAACCGCAACCTCAACCACATTTTTACAATACAATGCCGCAGTCTCCATCAAGAAAAGTGTGCGATGCTGCCATCCAAACTGAAGATCCCACTGGACGCTCAGAAGTTGATCATTCTGTTAACTCTGAAAACCTTAATCAACATGGTTTGCGTAATACCATGGATATGGGTGTTAAATCGCCAGCAGAAAATGAAAACCAAAGTCCTAGATCGTCGTCAGCACCACCAACAGAACAGCAACAAACCCATCAGCAGCAGCCCTACTATTCTCAGCCGCAACAAATACCGGTTAATGGACCCAAACGACCTACACCGCCTCCTCAGCAACAACATCAATTCGCCACTCAAACTAGCCCCCAGATACAGTCCGGAGCTTACAGCGGCCAATCGCCACAATTTCAAAAAGTTTATTATGCTCCCCAACAACAAGCGCATCCTCAGCAAAAGCAACAGACTCCACCACCACCCCAGACCCCCGGAGGGTCTTACATACGCACCATACCAATATTTGTGGAGGGTAGGTCCGAACCCATTATCAATAATAAGGAAATTCCAAATCAAAATGCGCCACCAAATGTCGCAACTGGCCCTGCCAATTCTAGGGCTTTCACACCTCCAAAACAACAACCACACCGTCCTACTCCATTAAATACTCAACAGCAACCCACTTCTCAGCAGCAACAACAAAGTGGTGGTCTACCTCCCCAAACACCTCATACCGTTGATACCATAAACAAAATACAAGATATACAACGTGATGTTTTAGATTTAATGTCACGCGTAGAAAAGTTTTCGGGCACTCGAGCTGACAAGGAATACGTGTATTTGGACGAAATGTTAACTAGAAATCTATTGAAATTGGATAACATCGACACTAATGGCAAGGAGAGCATACGGTTGGCACGAAAAGAAGCTATCAAATGCATTCAAGCTTCTATTAATGTGCTAGAAGCTAAGGCAGAGGAAAATAAGAAGGCAGCCCAGGCTAATGCCGCCGAAAGCGATGAGCCAGAACAGCAAGCCCCCGTCCAAGAAGCAGAAACGCCAGCACCACCAGCAGAAACACAAAAATCTACATCAGCCGAAAAAGTGACCAAAGAATCAACACCAACTGCTGCAGCTGACCCAATCGTGGAACCGGCAGATCACAAAAATAATGAACCCATACCACTGCCTCCACCAGAAAGTCAGAAATTCAATGAAGTTAAAATAGAAGATTGTCCCGAGGATGATGCAGCTTCCACTGCAAGCCATCAAGAATCCGCATCAAAAGCAGAGGACCTAAAAAAGGAAAATTCGTCTGAAACGAAATGATGATATGAAAGAACTCTTAATACAACCGCCAGCTATAAAAAGGCCACCTTTAAAAAGATTGTCTTAGAACAATACAATTAAGAAATTAACACATTAGTCTGGGGATAACGCATTACATTCATTCATTTCTGGATGTGCATGTAGTTATCCGATTCACAAATTTCAGATGCTTTTAAATTTTAAACTTTATGTTAAATACTACTTACATTTAAAGCCTAAATTAAATTCGTGCCAATCTTTAAACCAATAATTAAATGTTTCTCTTTTTTCTCTAACCTTAACCTCCAAAGTGAATATCTAACTTTTAAAATTATTACAATTTGTAATTTTTAAAACTCAATACAAATCTTGCAGATTCAAAATGTAACTAGCAATCTAACACTTTTTACATAGAAAACTCTATCCGTAATATGTATGTATAAACTCATTTATACATATAGCACATCACATTTGCGTCAAAAATTCAAATATTAGATTGTTGCAAAGCTTCATATAGGTAATATATTTATAAATATGTATTAGATAATTGAAAATTTTGCGAACCGCAGTTGAAAAATATGTAAAGAATGATTGAAACGACTAATGTTCGTATTTTATTGATTTAAAAACCAAAACACATACTCCTTAAAATATTAATATAAATTATTAATTGACAGAAATACAAGTGCCTCAATTTACTAGAAAGCAAAGTATAACCTAGAAAGCTTATAGTATAAAAATATTTGATTCAATTTAGTAACACATAAAGAAACTATCTTTGAGTAATTTTTATTTTATGGACGTTTTGTCGTCGTTCGTCTTACTCCAGCTCGTAAAAGAATTGTATTATTCTCAATTAGTTCAAGTATATCGGTCTCAGTTATGAATTATGTTAAACTACATAAACATACTTATACATATGTATGTATGTACGTATCGCTAATTTGCTTCAGTAGGACCAAAAAACAAACGGCAAAGTGCAAAAATCAATGTAATTTATCCTTAGAATAACTTTCATACAAATCCTAAGATTGGAAGAATAACACATCGCAGATATTAATATGTTTAATAATTTAGTTTAAACTAAATATTCAGAAATCAAATACGTATACTTAAAACTCCGAAAATAATAGACGTATATGTAATAAAAATAGGAACCTGCAAATTTGGCGTTATTAACTTTTAAAGGCAAATATAAGATACATATGTATGTGTGTATTACATATGTATGCATGTGGACAGCGTAAGTAATTCTTAAACTTAAAAAAATTATCAAAATTAAAAAAAGTCTCAAAGTTTTTGTTGGTAGCTTTAAATTTATGTATTTTTATTTTTTTTTCACAAAAAAGTTGTGTTTTATTTGATTTTGTTTTTTATGGTTTTTTAATTTTTAAAAATGCAATTTATGCAAAACTACATTTTAGATACATAAATACACCTATATCGTTTTATTGATTTAATGTTACGAATCGAAATTATATAGAATAAAACTTAAAAAAAGAAATTACTAAAAAAATTATGTATGTATTAAAACAAAAAGTAAATAAATAAAAAATATAGTACGTACATGCATATTTGTTAATTCTACAAAAACATTTCTGCGTTTTATTTGCAATTCAATATGGATGGAAGGACAGGTTTGACTCATAGTCAATGTTAGTGTGCCAGCGGTTACAGAAAAATGTATCCTTATTTAAAATATTATTTTACGTAAATGCGATAATTAGTTATTATTTTCATGATTTTCGGATGCAGCTCCAAAGAATTTTTCATACTCCTCTTGCCTCCTTTTACTGCGAGCTTCTCTTTCTTGCTGCCTTTTCTTCGAAAACCGTTCATGAATTCGCTTCATTTCTTGGACTTCTTTCATTTCTTCTTTATCTTCATCCTGGAAAATTAAGGTCAATTGAAATCACTACAAGTACACTAAGATGTGATATATATTTTTTACAGAAAATTGTCCTATAATAACTTTATAGAAAATAGAAAATTAGTTAATAATAATAAAGTTGCTTGAGAGGTAATTTTTGCAAAGAAACTTTCCACAGCAAATGATGATTTCCAAAAATAAAAAAGTCGTTGTCCTAATGTACTTACAGTCATTTTAGCTATCCTGCAAAAATTGTTTATGAAAAAAACATACTCCATTTGACATTGTGATGTCCTAGGTGAGGACCACGTAATCCATACATGCATTACATCAGACAAATACAAAAACTACCTTTCTAAAATTATGGATACTATGTAATGCAGGCCATGGATCATGTACTCCAATAATTTTTGCAGGGTAGTTTATACATTTAAGTTAAATAATTTAACAACTCACACTCATATTTAAACGTAACACTAGGGCTCTTCTGCCATCTGACATTGGCTGGGAATATTGCATGAAATTTTTTAGTCTTTCTGCAGGCGGGACACTTCGTTCGACCACCAACACGATTCGTGCCCATTGTCTTTGCCATTCATTGCGAATCTCAGCTATTTTTTGATATGTATTACCCATCATAGCAATTAACATGTTGACTAACAACACACTAACTATGACCATAAACAGAAAGAAAAGTATCTTCGCCTCAGCTTCATGTTGCGTTGAAGACATAGCCCCATAATAGTCGCCGAAGTTGGTAAGGGACATTAAAAACATTGCCACGACGGATTCCATCGGTGAAGGCATGGGATTTGTACCTGTATCGTCAATCTCTTCTGGAGTTGCAGGATTATCAAAAGTTAAAAATATAATGTAATATGCCTGGGAAAAACCCATAACAAACACCAAGTAAATGGATACAAAACGAATTAAATCACCCATAACCATTCGATATATCATCACGACAAAAGGTCCAACAGTTTTAAATCCCCTACAAAATAAAAAAAAATATAAAAGCTACTTTCGGCAATTCCATAATAAACCCACCGGCAAAAGAAGAGAAAGTACGGTGCGGTTGTTAGCATAATACAAACTGCTACATGATCATCTAGCTCCGTTAAACATGATAATCTCAACCAAGGAATAGTCATCATAAGGCAACACGAAAATAGAAACATAACTCTTGATGGCGCCGTCATCTTAAAATATAAATATTATCATAAAATATCGAGATTGTGTAATTGATTTTTCTTACTAGATTCTCAATAAACATTTTATAGCCCAAAAATCGGGCTTCTCGTAAAGCAGATAACAGATACAATATGGCACCAATAAATATTACTATTTCTGAAATAATTCGTATCTTTTCGGTGTAGGAAGGAGTAGAAAATAATTAGTATCTTAAATGTAAACGGAAAAATACATATCGCTGACATAATCCAAAAAAGTAGTTTCGAGATAATTGGCTTTGTATGTTTGCAATTTGAATGTTTACAATTTTTTAATATCTTTTAAATAGTAGAGTTTAATATGCTTCTCATCTGAATTGAAATTAATTTTTAAGTATCTAATATTCGTGAAAACATGAGTTCTAGTTCTTACTTTTGCAATAAAAAATCGAACTCACACGAAAATAATATAATAATAATAATAATAATAATAATAATAATAATAATAATAATAATAATAATAATAATAATAATATTAATAATAATAATAATAATATACATATAATAGAGATATTTCAAATTTGATAAAACTATATGAAAGACTTTATTAAGACGCATGGATTGCAGCACTCAGTTCAAAACCCCGAATTTTGGATTATGCCAGTCATGTAATAAATGAGCGATATACATATGTAAGCGAAAAAATAAAACATGTCCTCCAAAAAAGTAGTTTCGAGATAATTGGCTTTGTATGTTTGCAATTTGAATGTTTACAATTTTTTAATATCTTTTAAATAGTAGAGTTTAATATGCTTCTCATCTGAATTGAAATTAATTTTTAAGTATCTAATATTCGTGAAAACATGAGTTCTAGTTCTTACTTTTGCAATAAAAAATCGAACTCACACGAAAATAATATAATAATAATAATAATAATAATAATAATAATAATAATAATAATAATAATAATATTAATAATAATAATAATAATATACATATAATAGAGATATTTCAAATTTGATAAAACTATATGAAAGACTTTATTAAGACGCATGGATTGCAGCACTCAGTTCAAAACCCCGAATTTTGGATTATGCCAGTCATGTAATAAATGAGCGATATACATATGTAAGCGAAAAAATAAAACATGTCTTCAGTTCCCAACCAGACGTTGAATGTTTATGTCCTAAACTGTAGGCCCGCGTGCAATTTCTAAAAAAAATAATTCTCATATTTTTGATTGTTAAAATTTTCGAAATAATGAATAATTAAGTGAAATATATTTTATAGAAATTGTTAAAATGTAGCATTATTTGTTTGCATTATTTATCCAACAGAAGGTATGCTTAGGTTAGTAGTTAGTAATCTTGTCTGACCGAACGGATGGCGTGAATTTAATTCCCACCAGAGATACTGGTAAAGAATTTGATGTAACATATATCCCCCTTTCAAGCTAACTGATTAACTATCCTACAAAATGCAATAAAATTCGAAACATTCAACCACTATAGGGAACAGAAGATCACAAACAAAATTCCCATGGAACACTCTAATACAAATATATGTATATTATTTACACATGTTTGCAGACCTTGGCCAAATTCGACTCCATATTCATTAAAGGACAGTTCTCATAACTACTCCACCAGGAAGGCAAATTGTTATCATCACGTTCATCATCAATATACTCGCTGAAATTAAGCCAAAACGTTTCTAAAAAAAAACAAAATTATCAGTACAGTAGAAATTTGAAACACATCAACTTACTATAAGGCAAATTATTTTCGATTGTTTTTGTAACGGAAGAATATTGTTGTGTATAAAATGACATATTACTCGTTTCGGTTGTTGTCTCTCGGTTGTCGTCTTCCACTTCATGTTCATCTGGTCCTGGTCGTGAAATAAAGCTAACTAAAGAAAATAAAAAATAAAAGGAAAACATGTAAAACTGCTTGTAAAAACGGGATTTTACAAAAGTATCCCATTTAGTTTTCAAGAGATCTATAACAACGCCATCCAATAACTCCAAATGTTCTAATTTATCCTAAAATAAAAAGAATTGAAAGATAAATTAAAGTGTGGTGAGATCAGAATGCTAATTAATTACTTTTGGTAAAAAGAGATTCACTTACGCCAAAAACCACAAAATTCAAAGCGGAATCCTTGTTTATATTGCCCGTTTTTACATCGATTGTATCAATTTTTGAAAGGGGGTATGCTGCACAAGTTATGCTACCCAGTTGCCAATATATTTCACGTTCAATACTCATTATATGAAAAAACATCTCGACTCTTCCCAACTTGGCAGCGAGTGTTAGGGGTGTTAGATTGAGAACGTTTCGTTGATGCACATTAGTCCCCACTTCGTAAGCAACATCAAACATATCAATTTTTTCATATATAACCATCATGTGTAATACGTTGTTGCCATTCGTGTCTTGTAAATCAGGATCTGCTCCCCTTGCTAAAACCAACCGAAAGCATTCTTCCTGAGATAGACAGGCAGCGAAACTCAAAGGAAACTCTCCCCAATAAACATAACCATCGTAGTTAGTTATGGGATTCACGCCAACGTACTCATGATCCGGGGAGTCATAGCGAGAAGGTTTTTGGTCTTCTGCAGACATAAAGGCTCCACAACATCTGAAAATTTTAAATTAATATTTACTTTCTTATGACAACTATTTTTCGGACACTACCAGCTAGTGTTTATAAACCGTTTCAGTTTCATAAAAATGTTCTTCTTTACATAGAAGTTATGGTTTTATGAGAGTTATTGTCAATTTTAGTAAATACAAAACTCCATTTTGAAAATCCCATTAATATGGATCTTTTTAAAAATTGCATAATAACGACAATTTTCGTTATTTGTAAAATCTGCGTTTGTATTTCAACAAAGTATTCATGTTCGGTTAACAGTTTTTAACGAATTTTTGGGATAGCAAATTTTAGGTCAAAATGACAAATGACAGCTAATGACTCCAAAATTTATTTCAATTTACCTTTCTTCTACATACGCATTAGCGTCTAAAAGGTATTTCACCATTGCAGGATCTTCATTGACTATAGCTATGTGAAGTACACTTTCGCCGTAGTATTCATCACTAAGATAAATATCCATTATGAGTTTTGGATAGAATTTCAACAATCTTTTAGCTAAGTCGGCATGCAAAGAAGACGCATTCAATAAACACAAATGTAAAATAGTTTCTCCAACTGCTCCTCGTTCCTGAATAGAAGCATAAAGAAAAATATATTAGGTTTGAGGGAAAAAATACATACATACATATATGTATGTATGTTAAGTCGGATCTGTAATGCTCACATTTAAATTCCAGCACACAAACCGATAGGCACTCGGATTTGATATGTATTCGGCTTCTGAAACTTCTGAACAATAGTCGTGTATGTTAAAATCATCATCAGGATTTTCTAATGCTCTAATCTCTGGTAGTTGCTTCGTTCTTGCTCTTTCCTTATTACGTAATAAAACCATTTTGGAAATAGGGAAGTAACGACCAGCTCCTTTGTTATATAAAAAAGGCTCCACTTTAGTCTTGATAGCATGATCTATTTCAGCGAATTGTTTTGTCTGGCAAGCACGTTTCATCATATCGACTAAAAGACCACCGCCTTTAAGATTTACAAATTTATATAAAGCCTGTGTGGAGACTCCAGCTTGTTTTTTAACACCACTCGTGACATTACTTTCAGTATTCCCCATTATTAATCAATTAAGATCAAACTTTTCTTTTCTTTAAACCTTTTTGCTATAACATTTCCTCTAATATGTAATTACACTCAATCTCAATGTTAATAAAAATCCCTTTCAATTCGAAATCGATTAAACAGTCTATTGTTTCTAACATGGCAATACCTTTGACCTGCATATTCGTGGTATCCAAGGAAATTTTTGGCGGAAAAAAAATGCAAACGTTCTTAACGACAACAAAAACAATTAACTAACTAGTTGCTTGATGCGATATACATACAAGCATTTAACTTTGTTTATTGTTTCATTATGTTTGTTATGCCAAATTTGTTTACTTATACATATCTTTATCTTTATGCCTTTTTACTTGTTATAAAAAATTAATTTGTCGTTTCGCCATTTTAAATACAATTTTAGACAATAGAGTTCTAAAAATTCATGCCATTCACCATTTTCAATTAATAAGTAAATTTTGATACACCCTTTTGAATCTTACTTAAAACTGTTTTCTTATTAAAATTACGTTTTAATAGATTTTTTAGTTTATTGTATATGTTTATGAATGTATGAAAGAGTAAAAATATAAAAGGACATTATTGTTTTCAAAATAATAAGTAGTTATAATAACATAAACGCTAAGCGTATTTTCTTTAAAATAAAATATACAATATAAATAATTATGTGACAGGACGCAATAGTTAAAATAAGGACGTAAGAAAAACAAAATAATTATATGACTTAAGATTAATCTGTAACTGACATGTTCATATAATAAACGGTTGTAAATGCATGTATTTAATGTCTAAATTACAGCTTTTTTCAAAAACAATGTTTAAAGGAAATATTTTATATACATTTTAGTCACTTGTAAAATTTTTAAGTAAAGACTCGAAACTGATAACAAATTTATATAATACATTAATGAACAAAAATTTATTAATTATTTAATTTATGAATTTATTCATTAATAAATAAAAATTTATTCATTAATGAATGTCCTATTATTTACGAAGATGTCAGTTGCCGTTTGTAAAAATGGATTCAATCTATTGAGGTCTTAAAAATAAAGCTGCATAAATTGTATAAACGATTATTTTTTATGAAAATACATATTAATGCTTTAGAGTTGGCACCACTAATATAATGATTAAGTATTAAATGTAGATACAATATTTAATTAGCAAAAGTTCTAAATTACAGTTTCTGTATATGGAGTTTAAAATTGGGTTTTTTTAACTATTGCTTGTAAATATGCAAAGTATTGCAAAGTAATTTCAACAAATAAAATATAAAATATTGGAACTATGCCCAATAAGATATATGTATAATTTTTTTATTTGTTAAAATTATCTAAACATTTTATAAACTTAAAATTTTAGTAATATATATTTAAAAATATGTTCTCTTCCTATAGATTATTAGTCTATTATTTCGACATAGTTTGCCGGAAACAGTCCATAAGTTCCATCAGGTCCCAAACCTTGCCACCACCCTTCATCGATTTGATCAATATGAGTAATAACATCGCCGGGATCGAAGGTAATCTCAGAATCGTCAGCTGAAAGAAGTAGGTTATTGTGACAATACATACATTTTGAAGACTTTAATATGCACACGTATGCATTAGGGGTTTGACTTTTTGATTTTTTTTAGAAAACACAACCTTAATTTTTCGATGCTATTATTTTCATTATTGATTTATTATTGGCTATCACATCATTATAGGTAAAATTTATGTCAAACATTAGTCATATCCCTAGTACACATGTATGTATATTAAAATTAGTTTAATTTAAACCTTTTTAATGTTATAGCAAAAGTTTACCTGCTTGATAATCATATAGTGCACGGGCTTTTAAGCCCAAATCTCCCAATGAATCGTGACATATAAAATCATCCTCGTTAACTATATCATTCACTGAAAGAGAAAATAAAATATCACATATTAAATATTTTTTCTTTCCAATATGAACCTACTGTCATTTCTCTCTCCCAAGTAACCATTCTTACTTGTAGCTACTGCTTGTGACTGGGACTGCTGTACTGTTACTGAAACTTTAGTGCGCATAACCTCTTCTTCTTCGTCTTGATACAGGGCAGTATCCGTGTTATTTGATGATGATGTATCGTCTGGTGATTGCAAAGAATTCGATTTGCTATGTGGTGACCTTTTAATGGTAGAATACTGTTCACTGTCTGGTTCTAACGGGTAGTCATCAATGCTGTTTGATTCCTCTTCATTATTAGCTATAGCTGTCATTTCAGGCTTAACAGGCTCCAAATTAGTGTCCAAATTAAGACTTGTTCCTTCTTCTTTTTCAAATTTGTTCTCTTCTTTTGGAGCATTTGTAGGTTCATCTAGTATTTGTTTGGGTAAAGTAATTTTGCCTGGTAATTGGTGTCCTTGCGAAAGTACTGTGTTGGATTCATTTTGTGATTGATTCTGATTAAAAACATTAATACGCTGTGTTATAGAATTTCGAACAGGTTTTGCAGGCGGTGCCGTATTCAGTCTAAGATGAAAATATATGCATAATTAAATATTGTACTTATCTGCATTCTTAGAGGAAATCCATATCGACTAAAATATTTATATTGACGTACTTGCTTTGTAATTGTCCCTCGCTAGTATGTTTAGTAAACATTGCTTTTGCAGCTCCAACACGCGTTCCAATTAATTCTCTAGCTTCCTGGCTTCGCTGTTGCCTCATGCGTTCCGCTTCTGTTAATGCCGATCCAAAACTACTAGCAACAGTTTTTTCGGGGCTTAAGGGTTGTGGTGACCTTTTAAGAATATAAATATCAAAGAAATTCAGTATAATTGTTTTTAACAATTTATAGTATGTATACATTACGTTTTAATGGGGACATGAGCTGGTTGTAATTTATTAGCCATCTGCAATTTTTTTTCTCTTTCTAAATGCTCCTTCTCTTCTCGTGCACGCTGCTCCTTTTCTAACTTGGCTTGTTCTGAACGCTTTTGCTCTCTATCAGCAGCTAAACGATGTTTCTCCTCTTCCTCTTCTTTCTTCCAAAAATTTTGCATGACTGATGCATTTAATTCTTTTGTGGGTATAACACGAGTGTAATTAGTACCTATAGGCGTTTTTTGCTCGTCATTTACAGCACGCGGTTCCTTAAAGCTGTACGCCGATGAAACTGTACTAAGTTTTTTCAAAAGTCGTTCCAAGTCTATATCGTCCTCATTTCGAGCATTGATGGTTAGATGAGCCCCTGACAACAATTTTGCTACGTCGTGTATATGATTGGCACAAGTACCTTTTCGTAGAACAGGTGCCCCTTCGCCCTTTATAAATTAGGAAAATTAATACAAAAACACATTCAAACTCAAAATGTTTATTATAATATAGTACGAGTCTCTTTTCATGCAAAATATATTTGCAATTTAATTGCTACAAGGTAGTTATTTATTAAATTTTCGATTTAATTTCTAGTAATAAGTTTAAAAAATAAAAATAAGTTTAATAAATAAGCCAGCTTGCAATTTTAAGATATTTAGTGTGCATTATTATTATAATTATTAAATAAAAAATTGGGCTATGATAACGGTCTTCTAAATTATTTACATATCAAAGCATAGATTTTACCTGCCAATTAATGAGTAAGAATTTCTTTAACCCCGTTTTTGGGTCTTCAATTCGTACGAAGGCATACATTATTTTTCCACTATTCAAATCCTCACATAGCTCTTCCACACCACCCTCTCCACTTGCCACTAGTTTTAAGACATTTGTCTGGCCCTCATAGCCAAATAATGCCCTGTTGCAAATACAGCAAATGTGAAAGTATTTATGGATGTACATTAGGTAAAATCAATAAAAATAAGAATGTAAATAATTACCAATCAGTTGATGACTTGTCGTCCAAAACATCTCTCCAACCAGCCTCAATCTGCTTCCTATACTTATCAAAGCTAATGGCCATTATTTGCTGCTGTCTGTTTTATTGTTTGTTTTTGTTGTTACTTGTGTTTTTAAGAAAACCCACACCCAAAAACGAAGCAAAAACTAACACCTCCGAAAGCAAGTAGACGTCGACCTTGAGTCTTCTTAATTTTATGAACCACTGTTACCTATTTCAGTTACCGGTATATTGATGAATCAAATTTTCCTATTTGTAACTTTTTAATCCGCTTAGCTTTACATGAAAATAATCTCACGCTTTCTCTTCTTCCTCAATTAAAAGAAGTGCATTTTCTCCTTTGAATACTTTTTAGTTTTGATGACTTGCCAATATTCGTTCGATTGAATGAACGATTTAACTCATTGATATTTTTTTGACAATATTTAGAGCAGCAATGTATTGTTTAACAAAAAACCAATAATGTTTTAATACATTCTTAGCTCTCTACAAAAGTAAATGTTTCTTTTCTTAATATTTATTTCTTCTTATTTTTCACAAATGTATTAACTACATCAAGGCGAATTCACATAAGGTGGTGGCAATTCGGCAAAAACAAAATTTTCTACGTACAAGGCAAACTGTCATAAGGTGGCAGATCGGCAACAACAAAATTTTTCATGTATGTACTTTGTTTTTTCTACGCACCAATTTAAAAAACTGCACGAACGGCGAATTCATTTAATTTTTTAGGAATTTTTATATTTTATAATATATAAGCATAAAAATATTAAAATTTGTAAAGGAAATATGTCCTGATTGGAACAGTGTTTGTTCCAAATGAAAAATTCTATTCCGGCAGATTAATTTGCAAAACTTAAGTTTGTGCCTGAAATTATGTAAAATTAATTTTTTAATGTGAAAATGCATAAGAAAATTTCACACATATTATTTGATTAAATAAATAATTCAAAATATTTTTTTCTCTCTGTTTTAACGGAAATTTTTAAATATTAAAATGTAAACAATATCAAAATATTATTTGATTAAATAAATAATTCAAAATATTTTTTTCTATCTGTTTTAACGGAAATTTTTAAATATTAAAACGTAAACAATAACAAACTTTGACAGCAATGAGTACGAGGCCAACTGAAAAATAAATATCAGTTGATTGATTAACACCAAGGTTTATTAATTATAAGGTAGTGTTAAGAGAAGAGCTGATTGTTTTTTGTTAATACACTTTTCATTCCTTTTACATGTGGCTCAACAGCGTGCTGCCACATTTAAGTGTAGGCATAATGTCAAACTCTATATATAATAAATATTCGCTGACGACACTACCTTATAAATATTACACCATCATATGAATTCGCCTTTGACAATTGTTATCGAAAATTTAATACATTGATGTTCGCATGTTGCGAATTTCCGTTCTATTCCATAAATTTCAACTTGCATTCACTGTGTTGCTGTGAACGTTAATATGGCATCTCTATGCGAAAAGGTGATGAGTGGATGGCAATAAATGTCATATAGATGCGGAATGTGCTAAATAAGCGACAAAGCAAAATTCCATTGAGATTCTTCGCATTCCACTTATAAAATTCATACAAGAAAATACATTGAATTGGTTTTAAATTGTTGATTTGTTGCAAAAATTGCTAAAGAAATGAACAAAAGTAATAAATATTTCATTAATGTTACCGTCAAAGTCTAAAAGGTGCAAACAGTTGAAAAAGTTATAAAATTTTGCTTTTACAAAAATAATTCTCCCCGCGATAGTGCAAAATGTTTAAATATTTTATATACGCTTGTGTTCGTTAATCAAATATTTCTATATGTATAAAAATATACTTTCATATTTATATTTACATACATATGTACATATTAATGTACATACATATAGTATATAATACATAAGTGTATTCGCTGAATAAGGTAAATAAATATTAAATTTATTCTTTTAATTAAGTATTTATTTAGTAATGTTGTTATTGAAATTTTTTGTTTGAAGAATAATGCCAATAATATTAAATTTTACGTAAAAGGCATGATGTTTTGAATAATTCCAGTCCATGGATCATAACTGGAGAGTAACTTGAAATCAAACTTATTTAAAAGATCAGAAACATATGTACATATCTACTTACATTAAATAAATACATATGTATGTATAGAATTTGCAAATTTTTTTCTATATATTATATTTAATATGTATATTTTTATAAATTATAGTATCTAATGTGAGCTACAGTTGGCATGAATACTGCATGTACATCCTGTACTATACATATTCCTACAATAATACATATCGTAAAACACTACTTTTACATTAATTTATTAAGCGCCTTAAATAAATAAAAAGTTATGAGAATTATTATGTGGAAACGTAATTATGTATGTATGTAAATACATATTTAAAAATTGAGTTTTTAAAAATATTTATCGAAATAGAATAAAAATTCGAAGGGATTCATTGTCGGATGAAGAACGTTCTGTACAAAATTTTGTTCAAGTTTCTTTTTGTTATAAAAATTATATTGTGTTTAAGTTTTATTTTTATAGTATGTATGTATGTATTATGTATGTATGTACGAATTCAAACCTGTCCAAACTTCATCGTGCTTATTACTTCTTTTACGTCCCACTGATTTTGCTGCGTATCCATTATAACAGAGTTTAAAACAGCTGCCTGACTTGTATATACATACATACAACAATTTCTTAAATGACGGCCTCCACCTCTGCCTTCTCATAATCTCCAGCTTTTTATATTCTTCACTAAACTATGACTAACAGCATACATACACAGGCACTTACATACAAATATCCATATGTATGTACATGAAATACCCATACAGAGAAAATCAAACTATTACCATCAAAAAGAGGCATTAACAACAAGTTGTTACCATATGGGCTTGATGGTTTGTTGCTATAGCTCAGCTCATTGATATCATCCGACTACGTTACCGATGGCGACCTAAACACCAGTAGCATTCTGTTTAGTTTTTCTCATCCTTTCTTAGAGTAAACCTGATAAACAATCTGATTTCTTAAGTCTGCCTTAATGTTGTACACCTCCGTGTTTTGAATAGTACAATATATTCCAAAATATGTATGTAGTTTGCTCATATGACAATTTCGAATAAAATAAGTTTTGCATTAAATATACATGAATGTATGTATGTAAACTCCATGCAATTACAATAAATTAAACGTGTATGTGCATATGATTATGTAGTGTCTAAAAAAGGGTGAATTTTAGTCGGTATTGTCTGAATTTTGAGATGAATTGTGTATAAGTTTATACGATTTGCTTTTGGTGCTTTTTAAGTGTGTGAGTGTTTGCTGTTGTGCTCATTTGCCGGTTTTTACTGCCATTTTTCTGAGCCGTTTTGGTTTCCTTCGATTCGTTTTCTTATACAATTTCGTTCAACTCCGACAAGTTTTGTTTGTTGTGCAGTTGCATCCCAAATATAAAACAATATCAACTATTAGCTTCAAAACTTGAAAAGTAAAAATAACTTTTTTATTTATATTTATCCGCGATATATTTATTATAATAAATTATATCGTGGATAAATTTTGTTTTTATTATCCCTTTTTTATTTTCCTTAGGTTAGAATTTTAAGATTTTGATTTAAAATAAAAATAAAATCTAATTTTAATTCTTTATTTTCAGGTCAAATTTAGAACAACGTACAATTTCACCAGTTATTGTTAGTTCGCACATTCAAAGTTTACATTGTGGAAATTAAAAACGCTTTAAGATACTTAACTGAATTTAAGTAAAAAGTTGCCAATTATTGACATTTTTGTTGTAGTTGTCTTCAAAGTTGCAGTGCTTAATGAACGAAGTTTACGCGCTTTTAATTATTTTCTAAATAATTGTCATTCGTGTTTGTTCGTGTTTATTTTCTCCTCCCACTCACCTACAAACGTAAACAATTTTTAAAAGAAAAATATACTTTAAAATTGTAATAAAAAGATAAATTATTTAAACACGCCAGACATACTGACGTCGATTTAATCGAAAATAATTATTGGTTTTTTGTGTATGAATGATTGTGTTTAGTGCACAGCAATATAAAACTCATTTCATTAAAAAAAGGATTTATAACAAAATACTGAAAAGTGAAAGTGAGCGGAAGGTATTTTTATTATAAATATTTTACGACAATAATATCAACAAAGGCTGTTGAAAAGAATGGAATCTGCATTGGATGTTTTATCACGTGCTGCTACAATGGTGCAGGATAATGCAAATGGTATGTATTAATTTTTTGTCCTATAGAAATTTATTCCAATTCAATATGACAATAATTATATGTAACTACATTAGACCAACTCCAAAAAATGGAGCTTGAGTTTCTCCTCAAAGTATACCTTGTTATACAATAAGAATTTACTCAAACAATTTTGGATTTAGTGTTGCCCGTTCTATTTTAAATTATTATTTGAGTCTATCGAAATTCTTTAGATTTTTAATTGAATATTTTTATAATATATTTATTTAATTAATTTGTTCTCTAATTTTTATAATCTCTATTATAAGCAATGCTAGCAACATTTTCAGGGGCTGTTCACAATGATAGCAACCAATTCTTTTTTTAAGAAATTGTATTATTTAGAATACAAGTAATTTGACTTAAATAATATTAACATAAATGAAGGAGTTACACATATTTAACATAAAAATATATTTATTTAAAAATATCTCTGACCTCACAAACAATACAGAATATTTATTTCAGTGTAGTTAGAAGTTCAATATTGAAGAGTGAAGAATTCACAGCTTTATTTTTCTCAAAATGAATCTACATTTATCAGTCTTAAAATAGCCGTTTCATTAAAACCCACCAAGTCATATGTTATTGTCCTACTGGGATACTTTCATTGCGTTTCTCTGCAGGATTTCTCTGCAAAATTAGTATTGTTTGATTAGGTCCATATTGAACTACACATATAAAGGGACGTATAATTTGGAGAGTTTCTAAGCCAAATGTCGAGATATTTACCTTATTTTGTTCAAGAAGTCAAAGTTGAAACAAAAACAGGTTTTATACTTTAAATTAATCTATAATAATTTAATGAAATCACCAAATATACAGTATTATATATATATTAGAAACCTAATTAACTTTTTTCGGCATTGTATACAAAGTGCTATATTTCCCATTTTAATTGATGTCTACATTATAAAAAATGGTTTTATACTTTAAATTAATCTATAATAATTTATTGAAATCAACTAATATACAGTATTGTTCGAAACCTAAACAACTTTTTTTTGACATTGTATACAAAGTGCTATACTTTCTATTTTAATTGATTTATTCAAAATTATATTATTGATTTGTATAATATTATGTGTCTTTATTATAATAACAATAAAAGTATAATTCAATTTCGCTGCGAGTTACAAGAAAATAATAACTGAATTAACTCCATAAATAGTTGTTCGAAACGTAAGCAACTTTTTGCTTTTTTAAATCTTTAATGTATGATGATGTAACCGCATATGAAAGCCGCAATGACATGGGACAGAGTTTACTTAAATAAATTTGATTTTTTTTTCACA